AAAGTCCATTACTCTGTAATTAGCACACAACAATACACCAAGCTTTGTACTTCCGGCACGAAGGAAATTGGCTTTGTATTAGCTCTCTTTCTGCACTTTTGATGTTACATGTGCTGCAAAATTGCAATTTGAAGAGGTGGTGAATAAGTCTGATGCCATTAAATATGAGTTTAAGAGGAGTTCCTTTCTCATTGTGCTTGCCACTACCGAAGTCAACTCCAAAAATCTATACGCCAAAGGCCAAAGGTGGTGAGCAATGGGACACCTGAGTAGAATGTGATTGTATGTTTCAGCCCCATGCCAACTGTTAACCACAATTTTGCCCCTTATAATCAATCTGTTCAAAGTGCAAATGCATTCCAAAACTGCTTCCCATATAAAAAGGCCAGTCTTGGGGTGGCTTTCACCTTCCACACCATCTTCCAAGGTATACTCATTCCAATCCTCCCTTCTAGTCAGATGGAAGTAGTATAATTTGACTGAGAAGCTTCATTTCAAATTTAACCTCTAGAAAGGTTCATCCTTCATCCCTTTCGACACAGCCACTTGTGAAAGAGAATTAAGAAGTCTCCGATACTCATCAGCCTTCCAATTTAGATCAAATGTCTGAATGCCATTGCCTTGCAATTACCTCCTAACAATAGCACTCTTACATAATTCGAATTATCTGCTTCATCTTCACCAAGATAACTGAACTCAGCATGGTAACGCTTCAATCAGCAGTACCATCAGAAGAACCTAACACTACCACCTACGGCTTATAAATAATCTAGTAGCAGCTTCATCAACATGAAAGCAGCTATACTATCTTGAGTTCCACAGGGGAAAAAAACTATAATATCTCATGTCTGCTTAGTAGAGGAATAGAAGTGAACAAACAACATACTCAACCAAAATTAAATAAAGCCTCCAAACAGGGATATATGGCAGTACTATACCACACTGATTGGAATAGAATCGAACAACTAGTCACCCAATCAGCAGAGATCTATTGCAGCTAAACCCCAATGAAAGCTATACCTAAAGCAAAAAAAGAAAAACAAAAGAGTATATAAAACCTGAAATTAGAAAGGACAGGAAGGCCTCCTTTTCTAAACATTTTAAAGAATAAAACAGTTATATAAAAAATAATTAAAAACAAAGAAGAAAAGATACACACCATAGCAGTGACTCTGAGAGTTGAAATTGAGAACTTCAGTATCAGAGATCAAGATGAAAACAAGATGAGCTGTCGGGAGAGTTGAGAGAGTGTCTGGTGGGAAGACAAGATAAGCTTTGGTGTTAGAAGGAGAAGAGGAAGGTGTGTCAATGGTGATAGCTAAAGGAGTAGAAGAAGAACATGTCTGATGAAGATCGAAGAAAACAAATACATAGATCTGCTAGGTGTAACCGCATGAAGAGTGAGGAATTTGATGAGATGAAAAATGGAAGACATGAAAACCTGATCTAAAATAAAATATCTACTCATATTTCTTTTCTAAACAAAATAAATAATTAAAATTTATATAATGTTTAGTATATATAATTTCATATTAATTATGTTACTAATACATAAACGAATATAATATTTCAAAAAAAAAACATAAATGAATGTTATACAACTGGCCTTTGAATTGTAATACTTTTCTGTTTAATGAGATAGAGCTAATGAGAAGGTGCTAGATCAATAGAATGCATTTTAAAGAAAACCAAAAACTAATAACTAGTGGTGTCAGCTATTTTTACTGTTGAAGAGAATATTGTACAAGGTAATTAAGAATATTTAAAGAAAACCAAACACTGATAACTGGTAGTGATAGCTATTTTTTCTGTAAAAAGAGAATATTGTAGAAAGTAATTGAGAAGGTGGTAACTGCTCAAAGAAATGCATTCCATTTTCTTGAACATCATTAACATTCATCTTTAGCTTGATTTTACTCTTTTGTTGATCTAGAAGATAAACTCAATGAATTACAAGAGTTTCTTTTCAAAAACTTTGTAAGTTAAGTGGCTATTATTATCTTGTAATCCTGTAACGCTATGGTCAGCTGTGGAATAGTAGTGCAGTTCAACAAGGATGTTTATTGATCCAGAATAGGATCAAACTAAACTTGCTAACTCCAGTGCAAGTCGAATTGAATCAGTTTTCTATTTTTTCCTTTTTAATTTTTTTTAAGAGAATTGTTTGACTTAAAAAAGAACAATAACTAATAAAATCAATAAATAAACAATAAATTTATAATCATTCATTCAATCTATAATATGAAATTAATAAAACAAACTATTATTCACTAATAATTATCCAAATCATTCATATAAATCCGATCCATAATTCTAATCTAATCATTCATTACATATTCACAAACACAGCAATATTAGAAAGCTGTCTTAAACACACAGCAAAACCAGTGTTTTCCAACATCGATACTTTAGCTGGATGATAGTGTTCCCTTTTATTTGATTTGGTTTCTAGTAAGCTGTTAGTTCTGATATGTTGAGCAGTTAATCTGAAGCAGTCATGAAAAACCTTCTTGTTATACTTTTGTCCGTGCGGTTATTGTTATGATCCTGTTCTAAAAACCTATGCTAGTTTTCAGGTTTCTTGTGCAAAGAAGTCGAACTTTTGAGAATAGAAATATATGGGAGCGGGGATGATTGAATCAAACCATTGGATCCAAATGTGCAGGTTTTGCTCTGTTATCAGATGCTATTTTTAATGTAGGTTTGACAAACTTGCAACTTCTTCACGAAAACTGGTGGGCATATTACATATCTGCTTCTGTTGACTTGTTCAGTTAGCTGCTATATTGGCAATGCTGAAGTGGGAAGCAATTGCAAATTTTGAGTTGAGGACTAAAGTTTACAAATGCGGCTATGGGCTTGGATGCAATGCATTGGTTGCAGTAAGTTGATGTGATGACAAGCATGCCACACTTCGTTCATTTACAACCTTCATCCTTGTTACATCCTTGTCGTTGCTAACAGACTGGAGAACTTCAGATCCAACTAGCCTAGGATATGATACTTCTGATATAGTTTAGAGGATGTAAGCTGGCTGATAATATTCATATATTTCTGACTTATTTATTTAATTGTAAATTTGGATGAAAACCTTTGATCTCTATGCTATAATGTGCAGCAATGCAATTGCAGCAATGGCTTAGTTGTGGAGCCAATTAAAACCCTACTGAATTTGGTAATGTGCAGCAATACAATCTTACTTGTGGAGCCAATTAAAACCCTACTGAACTTTGACTGATTTGCTTCAGTACCGTAATTTTTAAATGTATTCAGGCTATTAAGTGAAAGCAAAATGACTTGACAACGCAGTGGGGCAACAAGCTGCAGCAGAAAAAGATAAGTCCATCTCGCTCACGGCTGGACAGCTTTCTGACTGCCATGTACAGGCTAGCTGGCCATTTGATGACAATTCTTCACTTTATCCCTTTGTAAGAAGGAATATTCTGATTTAGGTTTTTAATCTGGAAAGAGAAGCAAAAAAGAGGCTTCAAAATCCCATTTAGGAATTCTCTCACTAACGAAAGTGGAAAAGCATTGGTATCCTGGACCAGTGTTGTTGATTTGTTGAAGCGATTAGATTTAAAATAAGCTTTATGGTTTTAGTATATTACTTAGAGAAACGAATCACCAAGAGATTACTTGCCTCCTGAAGTCAGCTTATGTCTGATTCTTTGCCTAGACAAGAATCCTACTTGAAGTTCTCACCAAGTCATCCCCTTTTCCACTGGCCCCATAACAACTCTTCTTATTCCTCTCTCATTCATTTCCTCATCCCTCCATCTCCATACGATACCATGTCTCGCCACCGTGAAACTAACCCTCATTTTATAACACAGTCACAAGACAACCCAAATTTGTTTTTCTTGGTTCACGACCAACCTACCAATATGATGAGCAAACTCACCCTTTTCCTCACCTCCTCGACGTCAATGTAACTTTCCCGGTCACTTGTTTCATTGTTCTTAC